CAGGAGCGGTTTCTGTCTTGCCAACTGAAATCATTTACACCTATTTTCTGTCCTTTACCAGCTTATTTTGCCTGGTAAATAGAAATAGCTTGACAGCCACTGTCTTTTCTCATGGACAGACACATCAAATAAAAAAAGATGACATATCAAATATCTAAATGAATATATCAAGATGAATATATCAATTCAGATTAAATGTAAACAAGCCTGACTGCATGAGTTTTAGTTATCGTGAACTTAGACAAATATTTACAATTTCTAAGCAAAGATATTATGGTGGGGCCACTACAGTAACTTAATCATTTGTTTACAGAATTTACAAACATCCACCAATAATCACTAGAATGAATAGATAAATAAAAAACTTTTGTAATAATAATTAGATTGATGTTACCTTGATAACTAAGATAGGACCCACTGCATTAATCTCATACGCAAGCATTAAAGATGATTTCTCCACCTTATTCAATGTTGTTTCTGTATTGTACAGATAACTAATATAATCAACTGACTTGTATTTGTAAGAAACATAAACTCAAAACAAGAAAACAGCACTTTAGCTCACAATTTTACATGACTTGGCCCCATTCCACACTTCCTCCTTTATAGGAGCAAGTTCTTTTCTCCCCTTTTTACATAAATGAGCTAAAAAATTGTGTTCTTTTATCTTTCCATCTTTTATCCTTCAGTTTGTTTTTCTTTTTGAGGTGCATGTGTTTTGCGGGTGGGGGTGGAGAGGATACATGACTAAAAACTTATACAGCTATCACAGATAGTAGGATCTTAAAACTTCCGTTAGGCTACAATAGGCAGTGGATATTACAAGTCCATTATCAAAGAATGAAACAAAATCTGTACCTGGATGCAATACTTCAGGTATTGAAAGAATGCCAGATGCATTAATCAGAAGGTTTAGACGGCCATATGTCTCTTTTATTGACAATGCAGATGCCTGAAACATTATGAAGTACACAAACCTTAACAAACTAACAAGTTTGAAATTATTTAAATCTAACAGTGTGAACTGTCTTGATCCTTAAAATGGAATATGAATTTCATAATTATGTTTTTGGATGCAAATAGGCTTAAAGGGAAATTGCACCCATTGACCCTCATCTATCCTCCCAACCCATTCCCCTAAAAAATGTGGCACATGCCACCCTAATATGCATGCTTCTGTTGGTGCAAATGACTGAGAAAAGGAAAACAGTTAAGGGAATAGAAGCATAACCTCAATTGAACTTTCAACAGTCAAATCCAACGGCAAAATCCTAAGACGATCCGCAAATTTATCTTTCAGATGGATAAGCCCAGTTGATGCACTAGGATTTCGGCAAGTTGCAACAACATGCCCTTTTTCATCATTCTCTAAAAGCTGTTTTACCTGTAAATGGAAGAAACTGAGGGCAGTGTTAAAACTGTGTCAGCAAAATGATTTGATAAATTTAACAACCAAGATTCTTGATGACTCCTTTGATATGTGGAGCCAGTGGTGGTGAATTAAAGGATAAGCCATGAGATTGCTTCAAGAGATTCAAATGAAAAAGGGTGCTAATGGATCATAAATTGACTGTAACTATTGTACACTACAGTACCACAGCACAGACAAGATGAGAAAAGTAAACACAAGATACTAAAAATAAAGAGTAAATTACTCTTACCTCTTATACAATTATAGTAACTAATGGCTTAATACTTGGAAGTTAAAAGGGTAAAGGTGAAAAGCAACTTCACCTCATTCTGATTCCAGACACAATGATTCATATACACTAACATAAAAAATAAAAAATAAAAAGAAATTGACAATATAGAGGAAAAATCTTACAAATTCAAGGCCAATTCCTCTGGAAGCTCCTTGAACCAAAGAAACTCCTCCTAGAGAGGAAGAAGAAAAGGCCCTTCGGGTGAGAGATAAAAGGCGCCGTGAATGTGATGCCATGAAAGTGTGTTGGGTTGGGGACAATTGCATTGTAACATCAAATGAAAGACAAAAGAAAGCTCTTTTCTAGCGTTGATGATGCCCACAACACTTTGAAGCGTGGCTGCCTAGCAACCAAGCAAACACTAACCAACGTTGTAATTCGTAAAATTTAATGTCTTGTAATTCGCTCGTGACAACTTATGAGTTATGACACAATATCTACCTTCTCGCCGAAAATCTTGTTTTTTTTTTTAATATTTAGTTACGTATGGCTAATGACCTGGCATGCAAAAATTGGAAAAGAATTAACGATGTAGAGGAATTTGAACCACTTTCCCTTCACTTCTACAAGACTACTATTACTATTAGGTCAAAGTGTTTATTTAGTATACAGATAAAAAATATATATTATATATAATTTAAATAAGGGACAAAATTGTGTGTAAAATACTACTAATAAATTAATATAAATAACATTACTAATAAGTATATAATAATGTTAACTATGAACCAAATATAAAGTACAAAACATATATATATA